GCCCCGTCCACTGCAATTACCAGTGGCGGTTTAGTGCAGCATCCAAAACAACCTCTGCTCTGTTGCAAAACCGGGAAATGGGGAGAAAAAACAAGATTAGGTCCACAGAATTCGGAAGAAATCAGTCTTGGAAGTAAGAGAATTGCAAGATTACTAAAGAAAAACGTAGCAGATTGTTTTGAAAGGAAGCCTAGCAGCTATAACCTCAGGTTCTACAGAAAGTGATTGTTAAACCAAGAAATGTTCCTCCACGAAAAATAGAGCAGAAGAAATTAACAGACATGTTGTAATGAGAAATTGAGGAGAGCGTCGATGGTGCTGCTGCTGATTTTGCTGCAACGTTGGATGTTCAATCCCAAAAGGGTGCGCCCCAGTTTCTGAATGGATGCCTGGCTCTCGTCCGTAACCGCTGAGCAGCCGCCGATGGAAAATATCTGAAGGTTCAGATGGTTGGGAGAAGTGGCCAAGGCTTCGATCCCGAGATCCGAGACACGGGAATTCGACACATCAAGGTCGTTGATTGAATAGCAGTTCTTGGCAACTGAAACTAGGCTTGCGTCTGTGATATTCCTGCATCCGTCGAGGTTCAATGACTCAAGTGTGAGGCCATGTCGGGTGACAATGGCTGAGACTGCACTGTCAGTGAGGTTGAGGCAACAACTCAGATTAACCTTCAAGAGACCGGCACTGTTGAACTGAATCAGCTCGAGAAGGCCAGAGTCTGTAACTCCATTGAGTCCACAGAGTTCAAGATCCTGAAGCTGGTGACAGAACTTACCCAAGAGAGCAAGACTCGAATCCCGAATCCCGGGACAATGGGAAATTGACAACGAGCGCAAAGAGTTGGAACGGGTTGACGGGAGAGGTGAACCTGGGTTCATGTCCCTGATGCCTAGACATTTCACCACAGATAAAGCCTTCAACTTTAAGCCACAGTTCACAAGAAAGCTGAAGAAACCATATTGGTTGATCCTGTGGCACTCCTCAAGTTTCAAACTTTCCAGTGACATTGCAGATTTGGCAAGAGAGACGAGTCCATTTCCAGAGACAAGCAAACATTTGCTCAAACAAAGCTGCTTCAGATCCGGGCAACCATTCCCCACGGCCTCGAGCCCTCCATCCGTCATGCCTTGGCACGACGTGACAGAGAGGGACTTCAGTTTCTTAAGCCCTTTTCCGTTTCCCATTACCCAAAAGCCTTTCTCACTCACACCTCGAAGACCATTAAGCACGATATCAGTAACCGATGCTCCGTACTGCCCAAGTACGGCAAGAGACAGATCTGTTATATTCAGCATCTGAAGTTTAACTTTACTCAAAGAACAACCAGGTTGAGCCAACAGAAATGCCACTCCTTGATCTCCGATCCGTGAGCAGTTCCTGATAGAGATAGATCTAAGTTTGGTACAGTGTCGAGCAATAGCCTTCAAACCCTCATTTCCAAGACCTGAACATGAGTCAATAGTCAGGTCAATCAAATTCGGGCAGTTTTCGGCTATCGCAACCAAACCCTTGTCAGTTATTCCTGCACATCGTGAAAGTTCAAGTTTTTCAAGCAGTAGACATGACTGCGCAATCTCACACAGACCCACATCACCAACTGAAGACAAGTTCAACAGGGAAAGAACCCTAAGAGACGGGCAGCCACGGGCGATTGCTCGAAGGCCAACATCTGTCACTTTGCTGGTAAAACCGTCCCCTTGGATCAAAAGCTTCCCCAATCCACCTCGACTGGCTGTTCCAACCGAGATAGCTGCTAGCTTCAAGTCTGTCACTTTCTTTCCTTCCAAGCTTCTTGACAAATGCCCTTCATCTTCTACTTCTTGAAACTCATCTTTCGAGCCACTCGCTTCTTCCCTCCGGATATTACTCAAAAGGCCAAGCCATTGCTTGGACACACAAGCACATACACTCCTTTCTTGGCCAGAGGGCAACCGCCTGAATATCTCGAAAAGGCACTCGTCTGGCAGGACTTCGATTGAAGCTTGGTTCCGCTCGAATCCGCTGAATAGAGATGGGGCAGAGATCCTTGATCGCTTTCGTGCTGGATAATATACACCGATATTGCTTCCCGGGGATAGACACATCGATCCTCCAGGGAAATAGCCTTCATCCCCTATGAACAAACATAAAAGAGATGATTATTTTCAATATGAATCTCAATACGACGAAAATTTCACAACAGAGGTATCACAACCATGGAGCTCAAAAGAGCACTGAAAATGATCCAACCACAAACAGTGAACAGAACCGCCCCAAAGAACCAGACAGATAGAAACCAGAGGAAACCCTATAAACCTGACCACAGAATTTCAGATCTGTGAACTGGAATCTACGGATTGTACTGCATAATCGAGGTGATCATACTAATAACAACCCTTGATGGCAAACCCACCGCCCAAATAGATTGAAGGATGGAACAAAAGACCTCCCAGTTCAACATTAGACAAAAAATCCATGTTTCCACCGTCAGTACTAGGAGAAAAGAGACGTAGATTCGAAGTTCCTAAATCAAGCATATCAATGATAAATGACCAAACTACCACAAAAATCTAAGCTTTTCGCCGAAAAAGGAAAAAGATTTCTGGAACATACCACTGAATCTGAAGAGCCCAGACATGGATAAGGTTCGAACACCGCTGGAAAACCAAACCCTCCGAAGAGAGCAAAAATTCGAGAGAAGAGGACGAAGAAAGAGAAGAAGACGACGAAGGCGAAATCAGAGTGGTATTGCCGTCGAAGACTCGGGTTCATGAACGCGCGAAGGAACACGGGGAATTCTTGAAACCCTAGAAGATAGGGCAAAAAGAAAAAAGGGAGAAGATTAACAGAGGGAGGAGATGAACAAAATGGTGGGTCGTTCGAGGAGAGAGGCGTGAAGGTCTTCTTTAATGGCGAGCTTTCGATACGCGGTGACGGGGGACCCAAGTTCAATGTACTTGCATCGAAAGTCGGAATTTCTCGCCACATTCTTTGCTCCCCCCACCCAACACAATAATACATTTCTAGATAAATATTTTAATTTTAAATAATTTTATTTCTTTTTATTGAATTCTATGTGCAGGGAACCTTATTATAAAAAATAGTATATTTAATAACTAATCTGGACTAGTCTCGTATACTACGGATAAAAACACTTTGAAAACTGTGCTCATTTAAAAAAAATATTATTTATTTACGCAAAATATAACAAAAATATTATTATTTAGAAGCTTAATAGATTACTGTTTTGTTTCAAATGTTTATCAGTATTTATGTTCCCAAGATATATTTTTTGTTTTGAAATGAGATGTCTGAATTACAGCAAATTGTTACTTTCATTACTACCAATAATTTTAATATTATATAATAATAGAAGATGGCTAGATTCGATGATTCTAGGAATGTGTGGACAGGTTTTCTTTGGATGGACAAATCCCATCTCAGATTATAATCATGGTTACATCTAAGTTCATGTACTAATCACGTTTTTCCAAGAATTCTTTACATATATATATATATATATAATAACATATTTTACCATATATGCTTTTTAAAAAAAAACTCATTTTATGTTAGATTACAAGACAACTTCTTATATTCAGTGAATCAATGCCCTTATGATTAATTGTTATTTTCTCCCAAAATAATAATAAAAAAAACAGGTGTTATTGTGTTTATCTTTTAAAAAACAAAAAGTAAAAAGAAATGAATTAAAGCAGCAAAAATCTTGCCCATATTCTAAAACTGGTATTAATCTTTAAATGTTCTTGAAATTGGAATTTCTATAGAAATATCTAACAAAAGTTGCTTTAAAACAATAGTTTTGGATCCAAAATTTCAGAGAGAGGTTAAGAAGTCTGAATGAGGGGTTCTTGGACCCCATTAATGGGAATGATAGATATCTCACCAGAGGATCAAACACAAAAATTTAATATTCAATATAAAATGTAAAAAAGAAATAGAAATTGTTTCTAAATTGCCATTCACACTTTGGTTATACAAAACATCTGATCCTCTGATCTTTGCCAAATGCTACAATCAAAGTTTCAAGTTATTATTTCCACTATCACCCAGAAGAGGAAAAACTCTTTTGTGTTAAAAGAGTAGCAAGCAAATTCACATGTAAAGGCCCTCTTGCTCCCACACATCAACCAGAAAATCCACCATTTCCTGCCAGTATGCATACATACATACGTATACATACATGTACATATATACATACATTCGTATATGTATGTATACACACATCATCCAAAACAAGAGTAAGATGTAACCAGACAGCAAAAAATCTTATCCATCAGAATCTGCAGAGAGGATTCTCCAAAACGAAACACTTACAGGGAGAGGAATCGGACGAGAAAACCGCTTGTTCATGCCCAGCAAGCTCTCATAGGTCGCGTTCCAGCTGCAGAAAACGGCTAATAAACCTCAGAGAAACCATGGATTTGCTTCAAACTAGATTCCTTCCGCTTATACCACTGGTTTTATTGGCTAAGTAAATCGTCCTTGCTGATTTCGCATTCCTCTTGAAATGGAAAACTACTTTGAAAAACATGACTCGACACGGTCATGCTTTCACATGCCCTTCAATCCAATCCATAGCAGCTAAAACAAGAACAAGGGCCAGAGAAAGACGAAAAATCAATCGCATGGCGCCATTCTTGCATCATGCTGAAGTCTTGCCAAGCCATGATCAAGATTTATAATCTTTCTTCCAGAAAATCGTATTCCCGCCATTTTTCAAGGTTAGCCACGATAGTACACGGGATGAGAAAGTGCAGGCATGCATGCCCCCATTTCATGTTCTTTTACGGAATATAACGAAATAAGTAAGGATAAGTTGGTAAGAATTATGGATAGAGTCAGTGAGAGAGCTCAGTTTCAAAGAAGATGAGAGAGAGAGAGAGAGAGAGAGAGAGAGAGAGAGAGAGAGAGAGAGAGAGTTCATCAACCTTATTGTAGGTTCACGGAGTTTGGACTTCGTTTGAGAAGTTCCATTTGCTAGCCATTGCTGCCTCGTCTGGTTCCAAAGGATCAACCCTGGAAGAAAGAAGAATTAACAGCACTGACAATCCAATTAGGTCATGAAATCAAGCAATTTAAAGCAACCATGAAGGAGGAAATGTATAAAAAAAGATGTAACTTTAATATTTCAAAAACTGTGCCACGATCTATGCATCGTATTATTGCGGTGGTTTGGATAGAACTAGACCATATAACGTCTTACGAGCATGCCTCCAATGTACTTTCACCGACCAAGAAAAGAGCTATAACTGATGATCAATCTATACACGACAAACGCGGTCTGAATCATTAACTAACCGTGATTAACGAATTCTGTGGGATTGCTTGTACCGCAAGAAACGACATTGTTGTTTGTGAAGCTGATTGAAGAAAGGCTCCTCTGTGACTGAAGCGTACTGTTATCCATCTCACAGGTGCTTGTGCTCCAGAAATCGTCTGATACGCTTGCTCTCCTCACTAACCGACCTTGAATCCTCAACCCTTTAGAAGGCTCGTCCACTGCAATTACCAGTGGCGGTTTAGTGCAGCATCCAAAACAACCTCTGCTCTGTTGCAAAACCGGGAAATGGGGAGAAAAAACAAGATTAGGTCCACAGAATTCGGAAGAAATCAGTCTTGGAAGTAAGAGAATTGCAAGATTACTAAAGAAAAACGTAGCAGATTGTTTTGAAAGGAAGCCTAGCAGCTATAACCTCAGGTTCTACAGAAAGTGATTGTTAAACCAAGAAATGTTCCTCCACGAAAAATAGAGCAGAAGAAATTAACAGACATGTTGTAATGAGAAATTGAGGCTTTTCCTTCCGGGTATCTTCATCTTGTCCGGGAGAATTGAGGCTAAGAACAATGGTTTGAAGTTTGAACAACTCAAGAGATGCAAGAAAAGGAGATATGTATTGTAATGAGAAATTAGAGAGACGAGATCGAATTAGAAGGACAAAACTGAGATCAGAGAGATGGGTTTTACTCTCCTATTGCTTAAAATGCAACTAAGCACCATATATATGCAGGTTTAATGGCAAAGCCAGACCATAGATTATAGGAAAGATAAACCACGAATAACCAGAAGATGGAAGGTGAAACATAGCTTTCAGGTAAATTTCTTCATAATCATTGGATTTCTCTTTCCTCCTCCTTCAAATTGGAAGGTGGGATCACAGCAGGAGACAAACTTACACACGCAGGAGGACGTTAAACGCCAAAGAACAACCAAAATAAAAAAACGAAGCAAAAACACGAAATAAATAAACTTTCTATGATGGAAACCACTAATTATCTATTAATCAGAGACCCAATAGACTAAAAACACAACCCACTGAAACTTAGCTAACACTTCTGAAGCAAAACCCAGCAAAAGAAGGAAACTTTCCTCTTCCTTTCCCTGATTTTCACCTCCCAAACAGTCCCAGATGGAAAATTTCAACTCAGTAAGCATTAAAAGTTGGAGAGAAAACAGCTCCTAACTCACCCCATGCAACCAAATAAATGGTAGATCCAGGAGGGAATATATCCTCGGATTCGCATCTAAAGCAACCAACTTAGCGACCTTCTAATCAAGACCCTGATTCCAGGAAGAAGAAGCCTAACAATCCTGCGTCCAAAATCCAAACCTTTTAGTCACCAACTCACAGTTACCTACCACTAACACGAGCAGAAACAAAAGGAAACCCCTGTTGGTTTCCCGAGAAAAATACGAGAAGAACCTCAAAAATGGCATATTCGGGACAGATTGGGATTAGGGTTTCCTTCCTCCTTCTGCCCACCGGGAAAATCCCAAGCCTTCAGGTCGATCCAGAATCCAAAGGGTTCTCCTTCGTTTATCCGGGTTTCTTTTTCCCGTTATCTTTATTGTTTTCTCAACCTTGCTTACTGCGTGTGTGGTGATTCTTCCACAGCCAAAAAGAACGAATAGAAAATTTCCATTATGATTTTTATTAAAATAAATGATTAGAAATTTAAAAAAAATAGTTTGATAAAAACAGTCCCAGATTCCCATAAAATAGTGATCACAGGAAAATACAAGGGGCTGTATGTATGTATGTGTTAATATTGTTATCCCAATAAATAATCTCCTTAGCCCAACTAAGTAATCCTCTCTTCAGACAAAATAAAAATAGGAATGTGTGGTGTTGATTTTTTCAGAAAAAGAAAAATCAAAGAGATAAAAGATAAAAGCATCATTAATGTGAGTGTGTCTATCTGTATGTGGTGTCACCATCTCAATTATTCTCCAGTATAAACATAAACACTGAAATGAAAATGTGAGTTTTTCTTTGCTTGCCGTTATCCACAAGGAAAAGCGGGATGGAAGAATGAAGAAGCAACTGTCGCGTCATTCATATAATTTTGTAGTCCATCCAATAGTATGATTAAGAAAACTGACCGAAATACCCCTCAACGGATGGCATTTCTGCGTTTTTGCCACTCTCTTGCTCAGCTAGAGGGTTAAGAGCTGATATGAATCTGCAAGCAAACATCGTAGACGACAACTAGACTCGCTGAAGATCATCCGAAAGTGGTAAATGTCGCGTTCTCTGCATGATCTTCGTGCATGTGGTGTGATCATGGATTCTTTGCGGAAGACAGTAGTTTGCAGCTAATGTTTTTGCAACATTAGATCATGAACCGGAGAAGTCTGTTAAATAGGTTTTGGTTTTCTGCTAGTTGGTTCGGTTGATTTTGGTGATTTTAGGGTTCTTAGGCAGTTGTTCATCCAGTCTTCTTAATATAAGAGAGATGAATTGGTATGATTCTGTGAATGGATTTTTGTGTTCGCTACTTCATGTTTTGGGTTGATTTCAGTGGGGTTTAGGGTTCTTGCGCATTCGTTCATTCGCTCTTCTTAAGATAGGAGTGGTAAATGTGTTTGATCCTGTAGTGAAGAAAACAAGCTTCCCAGATTGATGAGAGAATGAAAGAGTTGCAGAATGGAACAATTGCAGTCAGAGCATCAAACTATTAGCGAAGCTCGAACCAAATTGCAGTTCCAGTGATGGTAGGAAAAACTTAATCTTCTTTTTCTTTTCATTTTTTTGGGGGTAAATGTTTGGCATAGGCAGGCTTAAGGCTAATCTAAGAATCACTCTTGTAGCTAAGGAGATCAATGCCCACTTTGATTCTCGGGTCTATGTTAGCCAACTCCATTACATTGTATGAGCATGAATGTGTTAAGACGAAGGAGTTGTGAAATATTGAGAACCGATGTGTGTTTTAGAAACAGATCACTCTAGGAAGATTGGTACGGCGAATGGGTAATTTGAACCTCTCATCATGTGTTTAACTTTATACGTTCTGCGATATTTTAATGGAGGGATGTTTGATCAACTTTCTTTTCCTTTTTTCCCCCTTGTGTGTGCGTTTTTGCCTCTGTGGTACTGTTTTCATATTCGGGAAGTAAACAAAGCAGCCTTTTTTCTGAGATGGTTAGCCTCTGCTGCATTAGACTCTATTTCTGCTCTTCAAACTTGTGTTCTCTTTGAACATGATTTGCTAGACCAAAATCCTACCTTCTCACTCTCCCTCTCTCTCTCTCTCTCTCTCTCTCTCTCATTTTCTCTGTACACAGTCCAAATAGAGTCCATGAAATTGACAAGAGTTCATTTTGATAGTTCTTTAACTCATTAGCTACAAATCTGGGGGGAAAAGGAGACTTGTTTCTAAGGTTGATTTGCTTTTAAGAACCCCCCTTATGTTGAACTCCTGATTTTTAATGATTTACTATGATTCTCTAACAAATAGAAGAACTGTCATGAAAAAGATATATGCATCCTATATATATGAATTGTCATTTCTGTGGTAATTTTTTTTAATTAGTTAGAGCTGAGCTATGGTTTCATAAAATTTGTGCTTTCTCCTACATTCATGTAAACATGCATCACATGACTCTATAGATACTTCCAAAGCTGCCCAAAGCAACTTCCATATAGAAAATAAAGATGATGTAGGAAGATTCTGTTGCAAAGGTCATCAATAGGTAAATCTCCAGCATTATTGTTTACAAAGCAATCGATATAATTTTCCCAGTACTCCCTTAAGTTGATGTAGTTTAATTTTCGTCTTTGTATCTGTACACATGTATATGCACGTATGTAGACTGATGACCGATAAGTACATATGTGGACAAACGTACTTACGTTCTCTTTTTTGGTTCAAGAAACTAAGTAGTGAGAATCGGGGGGAGGTAGCTGGATCTTGAGCCTAGAACCTTTGCCTTAGTATCAGGGAAGAACTCAGTCCCAGGAAGAATTGTTACTTCTCCATTATCTCCAATGGTAATCGGATAACTAAGCAAGTGACCCGGTAGATCACGATCAAGAGGGTACTCTTCAGCTGAGTATAGTCCCCAGAGTTCGTCAGCCTTGGCATTTACCATTCTAATGCATTCCTCACTTTCAGGATATTGAAAGGCATTCTTGGTGATCCTTAGATGTTCAAGCCATAGAGATATCCTGAAGCTGAATATTTGGCCCGTAGGCCTCATTTGGTTGGTTGACAGCAGATGGTGAGGTTGGAATGCCCCCATTGCGATCTCTGAATCTCTACCTCCGTCCATAGACCTTTGGTTGATGTTAGCGGATCCTATTATTATGTACTCATCGTCAACTACACGAAAACATACGCCATATGAACCCTGTTAGAAGATATTTATGATCATATTTAAGAAGTTCTCTTGGCATAAGAGATTTACGGCTTACCAATCATCATTTTGGAGTGGACATAGATCATGAATCGCCGAGATTCCTGAGCTCTCGCATAATCAGAATTGGGTTCTGGTTTCTCCGGAGGTACATACTCTCCCGCCTTTTTAACTTCTCGATTTGCAAGGCAGAAGAAAGATAAATAGTCTCTAGGATTTGCATCTAATCCTTTCTTCCGAAGTGCATTGACAACATCTGTATACATCATCTCCATTGTTCTTCTTTGCCAATCTAGTATTGCTTGAACTGATGCAGACCCTGGTTTTCCTTCAGGCCATAATGGAATCACAATATATACCGAGAACCTCTCACCTGCCTCGATTTTGCTCACGATCTTCAGGGAAATCTCTTTCGGTATCAGATGCAAGGCATTGATCTCCTCCACTGCGATGTCTTTAGAGCTCCATCCGAATGAGCTCCCTAGAAAATATTGGTTCTCGATGTAGATGAAATGCTGGGCTCTTCTTATGGCGCTTATGTAAGCATCCTGAATGCTTTTGTCAATCACATTATCTTTGCCGCTGACAAGTCCCACACTTGCAGCCTCCTGTGGATCATCCGGGAACCCTTCAACAGCTCCTCCATCTATTGACCGAAAGATTTGAACTGTCCATCCCTCGGGATCATCTTCTGGCGCGATAGGTAGCGGCGGAATCATGATCTCTGAAAGCTGAGGCATCGGAATTAGGTACCTCCTGTTGCTGCTCCCTGTTAGGAAAATTTGTCATCTCAATATACTGACCAATGAATGTGATTAACTTTTTCATATTACAATTATATATAGAATCTTAAGTTAGTGATCAAGGGGTTATGTAGAAATGGTCTGGTGGAATTGACTTAACTTTCAGTTTAAAATTGATCGGCATATGGATTAAACTTCCATTTTCACATAAAATTTTGTTTTGATTCATCGATTTTCATTTCACCAACCTTGTTTCATCCATCTCTGCTCAAAATTGTACAGAACATCCCAGGCGGGAGGCCCCTCCAGCTTGCAGTGAATATCGTGCCATGGCTCTCGTGGACCGCCTTTCTTGATGGAGGCACCGTCAAAGTTTGGTTGATGGAAATCGTTTGCATGGACCGAGTTTAAAGTACTGAAGAGAGGATGTTCTTCGGTGTCATACCTTCCATCACACAGATCAATCCCTCCAAGAAAGCTCACTATCCTCCTTTTACGAAAGCCCTCCACTTCCCCATCCACGACAACAGTCTTCTGATGGTGAGTGAACATCGTACCGACCTGGAAACCTTGAACTACAGTCTTACCTCTGTCAGGGTTTCGCGGGCAGAGGACACAACGGACTTTCGTGTTCCTGAAGTACTCGTACGTTTCTTGATCATGGGTCTGCATCAGACCGTCTCGTTTAAACACTTCTACCGATGTTCTGTCATCCCAGACAAGCATCAGAACAGCAACCCCCTCTTCTGCCTTCTTCCTCAGCAGCTCACCTAATGTAAGGTTTCCTCCGGGTTTTGGCCGGTTAGGATCTCTGATCAATGTTATCTTGGTATAAACCGACCAACCAGTGATGTATATAAGGTACTTAGCGTTCGATATCACATCGAATATCTCTTCCCAACATCTGTGGTGCTTGTAGATTACTTGTCCTCCGGCGAGAGTGATCTCTGGGAAATCTCCGAGGACGTGAGCGTCCTGATAGAGTGTGACTCTGCAACCTTCTCTCTGGTTGAAGAATGCGTTGGAAACTCCTCTGAACTCGGGAACACTTATTCCTTTGTTCCAGCCCGGGTCTCGTGTTAAGGGTATGAACTTCACTCTTACATGAATCTTAGAACCTGTTACAGAAAAAAAAAAAAAAAGTGGTTTTGTTATGTAATAGCAATATAGGCAAATGAAATGGGCAACAGGATGGTTATTAATGTGACTAGTTAGCTCAAACTAGCAAGTACCACAGGCGGGTACCCGAATTTTAGGAAATCGAGCTGCAGGACGAGGTCGGGTTCGAGTTCAGGTTTCGTCGGCCGATTATCCGTACTCACGTGCAACTCGAGCCAAGGAAAGGGTAAGGGTGGGCAGCTAAGGCCATGAGACTGTGAAGGGGCGAGATCCGAGGGGGCGGGAGGCGAAATTAAGATTTTGAGGCACCCATGAGAGGGATGAGATTCATGGGAGAATCATCAGTCGCAATGTGAAATTAGTGCTTCGTTTCGGATACGCGGAGAGAGTTGGTTATTTTTCAATTTTCGTTAAAAATTAGGGTTTCTTTTCACAAGAGAAAGGGGTTCGGACTCATCCCCCGTCACCGCCAAATACGCCCTTCTTTTCTCGTGATCTCGCCTCTTTACTTTTTTCGCATGAAATTCTTGCCAGTCGTCCCTCGCCCTGTTGGTCTTTGCTACCTCATTGCCTGATATTTCGCAGGTAATTGAACTCTGCCGCATTCCGTGGATACTCGAAGTTCGGATACCCAAAACTCGGGTATGAGACTAGATAGTCTGATCAGGATACTCGAGAGAGTGAGGCAGAGGTTTGGTGAACTGAAAAACTCGGGTGCCGACCCTATAAATTAGTGGTGAATTAAGTTTCATGTTTGCTAATGTTCCTGATTCAGTCTATGCTGACATGGGAAATCAAAATGTGTGTTTTAGGACAAGACCTCCTTGGATTGGAGCCTTGTTCTCATCCAAGATGTCGAGCCACTGGTCAAAGGTGCGGCCAGTGATGACTTCTCGGACGGGCAAATAGGCACGGCCGATGAGGGTGGCACTGATGGGTTCACTCTGTTTGAGGGTGAAGACGATTCTAGAGACGTTATGAGCCGTGTAGACGAGGAATGACTCGGACCATCTGGGCTGACGTCGTGTCCTGGTTCGAGCCACTCTCGACCTGTCTAAATCCACCGTCGCATAGAGCTCTCCTCCTCCGAGACAGTCCGTGCACGAGAGTGTTAGTCTCTTGAATTGAGATTGAATTTTCTTTCCCAATGGTTCGTTCCCCTAAATACATCAGAGAATTTCCCAAGTTAGAAAAAAAATTTGTAATTCGATACATACATACACACACTTATATATATATATATAATAAAGAGTGTAATATGTTTTGAATTTTTGTTGGTAAAACCTTGCCACATAAATTGAATCCAAAACGATGCTGCAATCTATCGATCCTATATATCTTTACGTCAAGAGTCCCATGAAGCAAATATTCCTCCATCTTTCACCTGCAAAACAAATCAAGCATATGTTATATTTCAATGCAATTATATATATATATATATATATGGCAGATATATCGATTTCATGGAAAGTAAACTTGATTACAAGATACACACGTACAAGACACAAACCTCGGGGACGATGGTTCGCCCGTACGAGGATTCTCTCGAGGAACAACCAAACAACCAAACCACCAAACAATTATGTAAAAATACGCATAGGTGTATATATATATATATATATATATATATATAGCAAGATTCTAGAAGAATCTTTTGTGGATTTACTTGTAAGAGAAGAAGTGGTGGAACCGTGAAGAAAGAGATGAACTCTTTTGATGGGTTTGGAGAATCTCGACTTCAAAAAATTAGAATCTCTTCTTAAGCCTTTTCTTGAGATGTAGTGCATCTCAACTGATTATACCTTTGACCCATCCACACTCTTTGGTCCAAGTCACTACATACATACATACATACATACATAACATACATACATGCATGCATGCATACATACACACACATATATACACACGCATACATACATACATACATTAAAAAATTATTTTATTTATTACTTGTATATCACCGTAATCTATGGGTTGTGAATTTACTCGTCTTCACGCCTTGTGTAGGAAATCAAGGCTAACCTCTGGATAAAAGAGATTTTGTTTTTTGTGTATTGCTTATCATGAATTTTAGCAATCTTCCTTATACTTGGAATTATTCTCACTGTCTTGTTTAAAAAAAAAATTGCGAATATATAAGGACCGAATGGTGTGTTAGTTTGTGTTATAATAATTTTTTTAATGACAATAAACGAATTATTAACATTTTGAACTAGTGCAATTAAAAAATTACTTTTTGTGGTTATTTCATTTTCACATACAAAACGCAACCACGTAGGCTTTCCAAAACAATGACGTGTTTAGATTAAATTAAATGCAAAGATTATTCTATGCCGACAAATACACACATACATTATTCGTTTAAAAGAAAGAAAGAAAGATTGTTTGTTTAGCCCCAAAAACTAGGGTGTGAATTTAGGTTCGAGGTTCAAAACTTGGTCTAATCCAGTTCGAAAATTAACAGATTTTGGATTAAGTTTTTTGGCCTGAAAAAATCAGGTTTTTGGATCGGGCTTAAATCGGGTTTCGGACTCGAATCAGAACAGCCCGAAAACCCAAAATTTAAAAAAAATAAAAAAAATATTTACAAAGGGAATTAAATGGGTCAGCCCGACCCGATTCGATTCTTAGACCGGAATACATAGGATTGGACTTCGAGCTTAATGATATAGACCCGAAAAAATCGGGCCAACCCGAGTCCAAGCCCAAAACCTTCGGGTTGAGTGCAGGTTCGGGCCGGAACAGCCCGATTGACACTCCTACCCAAAACTGATGATAATTAGGTGTAAAAAAGAAAAGACTTTTCTAACCAAATGAAAAATTCACACCAATCAATCACCAATTTTAGGTTGTGATAAGTTGGTGCTTTTAAGATGGGAAGAAAACATCCAAGTTTTACTGGTAAAATAACATACAAAGAATTCTTTTACCCAGATTCAAATCCAAACGTCGGGAGAGATATTCATCCGAATTTATCCGATTCTTTAAAAGATATAGTTACGCCAAAAGTTCGGTTACACTAAAAGTTCGGTGAACTACAAGATTATAAAAAAAAACGGAAAGAAAATTGGATAGCCATTAAAATCAGATTTGATGTCAACAATTAGATTGTAATGATTATAAAAATAGCTAAAGTTTTTAGAGTTTTTTTTTGTTTGTTCACGTATACGATTGTATTATGGAACATACGAAAACTTAATTTTTAAATCAATGGCTTAAAAAAACAAAAATTAAAACAAATTTTAACATAAAATCAAATTTTAAAATCTCAATCAATCATGATATTATTTGTCTACATACTTTTATTTTTGCTCTCTAATCAAATATAAAGTGAACTCTATTTTCAACTCGAGATTTGTAGAACCGACCATCAACTGTAATTGTACTTTGACCATTAATTTGCCAGCCCATAAAATTGATATCATGTAAAACCGACCACCGTTTATTAACTCGTTAGGTGAAAAAAAGATCGAGATTACACCAAAAAAAAAAAAAGATCGAGATTACTACATATGCTATCAACTCGTATATTTAAATTTTAACCTAATTTTTTTCAATGTGAACTTAATTATAATAAATAAATGTTATTAGAATTGAGTTCTTTTTTTTTAACAAATATAAAATGGAAGTGTTTCTTCGACTAATCGACCGACTCATGCGTGTGACTTGTGTGTAGAAGTTCTCGGATTTTATATTAATATTTGTAATTTATTTCAATTCATGTTTAGTTGCTTCAGTTACTACTATACACCAAATTTGTTTTGCTGAATTTGTATGATGATTACTAAATTAAAACGGTTAATTTTATTTGGGTATTGATTGATTGCAATTTAAACTAAAATATATATTTTGATTTTCGATTTTTTTATCTGTAATCGAGTTGGTTGAAACTTTATTTTTTTTAAATCTCCCGTTCCGAAAAGTGTATATATATATATACATATATATATATATATATATATATATATTTAATAATTATTATAGTAAAATTTTCTGCAAAAATTCTGGTAAAAACTTTACCGTCTTATTAGTATAAAAAACATTTTAATAATTATTATAAATTTAAAATACAAATTGCATCGCCAATTGATTTTCAGGGTCAAACTATGATATTGAATACGATAAGAATCCCATTTTTATACGTTTGGTCTTTTTCCCCTAATTAATCACCATTCGCTTGAAAGATTTGAGGAAATAGTACATGTTCCAGCATTTAATTAAAAAAACAATCAAAAAAATTATCAATTAATCTACATATTTACAAGTTCTTAATTTACGTCCCTTTTCATTACCTTAAGGTAAAAAGGGGATTATCTTAACGTAAATTGCAAAGTCGGCCAAAATTTGGCTACACTCTTAAGATAGAAATTATATATTTCTCAGGTTAGCCCAAAGAAATGTCTTTTCCACACACACACATGTATATATATGTGTGTATAACACATGCATGTGACCAAATAAAAGATGGTATAGTTTATATTATATTCATTTATTTATAAATTAGATGTTTGGAAGAAAAATGGTAAATGTTGGTGAAGTAATTTAATTAGCTTAATGTTTAAATCCGTCATGGTCTGCTTTAGAAGGTGTAAACTTTTAATGCGCCAACTACCACTTGTAGAAATGTCCGTGGACTTTTACCTTTCACACCCACCGACGATTCTTTAATATATATATATATATATTTATAATTATTTAAAATTATTTTAGTTTTTCAAAATTTTAATTATTATTCATATATCTTTATTAGACTCTTACATAATCGTACTTTCATGCCTTCCCTTTCATTAACTTCACTGACTTGTTCGTTTTCCTCTCTCTCTTCTAGACATGTATATATCAAGATTAAAATCATGGACTATGTACAAATTCTATCACTCTTATGATTTCAAATGACGTGTGACAAAAAAAGGTATGATATGTATGAGTTATCTACTGACAAAATAAAATGCAAAAATTAAATAAATAATAATAAAAAAGAATTGGAAACAAATTTATTATTATATCTATTTTTTGTCGTTACATTATAACAAAAATGACTCGAATATTTAAAAAAAATAAAAAAAAATATAGATACAATTAATATTTACAATATTTGATATAATAATATTGTATCCATTGTTATTTCTAATCATATCTCAAAATTAATATTTTATTCTAATAATATATTTGTTTTTTTTCATCAGTATTCACAATTGATTATGAAAGAATTGAAATGAGGATAAAAAGAAAAACATCGTGCTAATTAATGGTAATTTTCAAAGTTATTAATAAATAATATTGTCATTGGCCCTAATTAAAAATATTAATTTTGTGAGACTTGGTGTGATTAATCGAACTATACGATATTCGACGATTTTGAAGTCCTGTCTGAAACACTGTACATGTCTGCTAGTTATACTGAGATATGTCATATCATATGCATATTATAGGCGATAACTTCAGAGGAAGACTGACTGAAACATATAGTAATATAATATATATATATATGTGCATATATGTTTTTACTTGCATGCATATAGAGATATATGTCACGAGAGAGAGGAAAGGGTAGGGTGAGTGTATAAATAAGAGAGATAATTAAAGGGAGACTCGCAAAAAGTACATGAGAAGCAGCTGAAGAGAGAGAGAGAGAGAGAGAGAGAGAGAGAGAGAGAGAGAGAGAGAGTCTTGTTTTCTAACTGAGTTGGATCGCGTCAGATGGAAGAACAGAGATCATAGAAGACAATAGAAGAAGAACAAGAAGAAGTGTCTTAATACAACCTCAAAGAAATGGTACAGAATGCAAAGAAGTTCCGAGGAGTTCGGCAGCGGCAGTGGGGTTCCTGGGTCTCTGAGATTCGTCATCCTCTCCTGTATTTCTCTCTCTCTCTCTCTCTCTCCCCCTCTCTCTCTGACATATATATATATATATTTGTATGGTATACATGCAAATTCACTGCTTATTCGATTAAAATTTTTCATTTTCAAAATTCATACACATGTATACCAAGGTTAATTTGGACATTTCCCCTTTTTCCCTGCATTTATATATATATACGCATATATATATTTATATATTTTGTGTGAGTGGTGTTCAGGAAGAGAAGGGTGTGGTTGGGGACGTTCGAGACGGCTGAAGCGGCGGGGCGGGGCCTCACGGCCAAAACGCCAAGACGAACTTCCCCGCCGGCAAATCCGACGGCTCTCATCAGACGGACGTTAACTCGCCGGTAATGTCCCACAAGGCTTTGTCCGAACTCCTAAACGCCAAGCTACGGAGAAGCTGCAAGGACAAGGCGGCGCCGTCACTGACGTGCCTACGTCTCGACACCGACAGCTCCCACATCGGCGTCTGGCAGAAACGCGCCGGGTCGAAACCGAGTTCGAACTGGGTCATGCGTGTCCAACTCGGTGCCTTCGATAACGCACGTGCCGATTCGAAGAAGAAACAAAACGACGACGTTGAGGAGGAGGAGGAGGATGGAATGGCCATGCAGATGATGATAGAGGAGTTGCTCAATTGGGGTTGTCCTAATCTGCTTCCATTTGAGTCTAATTAAGATTACTAAGAAAGAAAAAAAAAACATCAGCAATAGTAATTATGGGTATTTTCTTGAATTCTAATGTTTTTTACAACTTTTTAGTGTGCATAGGTAAAAAAAAATTTGTAAGAAAACATAAGAATTATTTAGTTTATAGTTTAAACGGAGTGCAGGGTATGATGTCTTTAATAATAAATTAATAGTAATAATAACAACAACTATAATAATAATTGTTCTTGTGCAACGAGATATTACGTGTCTATATATAATATAAGGAAATACCTTTTAAAAAGTTGTGAGAAAATATGAAATTCTCATTTAAGTACAGTATCATATTTCAATTTATTGAATAATTACCAAAATGTCGTCTCCAAAATGTCATACTTTTTTACTATTATATTACCACTGTTAGAAAAATACATAGATTATTTTTCAAATAGTTCGGTTTATATTATATATATATATATATATATATATATGTGCGTGTATATTAATTCAAGAGTCAAGTAGTTGGATGGTAAATAATAGTTAGAATTAAATGCAAAGGGCGGAAACTGTATGACAATTAAAATACGAAAGGGACTTGTCACTGATTTTCCAATTCGAATGTGTCAGTGGAGAGGAAAAGGCTCGAAATGTACTCTCTGAATAAGCTCGAAGTTTTTACTACATGACATGGTCTCTGTCTTTTTTGGGGACCAAACCTTGTCATGTTTTTTTAATATACCCCAAAAAATCCATCAAGCATTCGGTCCAATTATATCTTTTACGGTTTAGAAACAATCTTTATACTGCAATTAAATTGCGCATCTCAGGAGTCGAGCCGACCACTTTAAACTAGAGGTAAACACGGGTCGGATACCTGGAAATTTGAGGATACCCGAACCCGAACCTGAACGTCTCAGGTTATATATTTTATTACCCGATCTCGTACGCATGAAATCGGCGGATATCCAAACCCAAAAACCTGTGAGATAATTATCGGATACCCGAGAGTACCCGAACCCAAATATTTGTAATTATTTTCAATCAATTTTTTAAAATATAGTTATATATACATACTCAAAATCATTCAAAATAAATTTAAATTGTATTTATATCTAAAATAAATTTATTTTAAAAAAATACATCATAAATATATCCAATAATATCTATATAATTATTAATATTAAATAAAATAACACAAAATCTAATAAAAAATCTAAATTTTAAAACATAATTTTTTATTATCCGAATACCCGAAGGTACCCGTGAGATAATAACCATTACTCGAACCCGAATTCAAAAACTCGCGTATTCCAATATTAATAACTGATCTCATATCTCGTTCGCTCGGATACCCGACCCTCGTGCCGGGACAGATACTCGAAATTCGGATATTTTTGTCCACCCCTACTTTAAACGTATAATGATCCGCTTGGCAATCCGACTTTCTCAAACATCTACCGCTCGACCACTATAAAATGGGTCAAACTTTGTCATGATAAATCTTTTTTTTTTTTGTGAACATGTTTTTAGAGTTGTTGAGTATTTCGTCCCTTTCAGATTTTGGGAATCTAACATTTTGTGTTAGGTTTCTGTCCCTTTTTTTAATCCATAAAAGCTTTCATTTACATTATTATTCATTATTTTTTTGGAATAATCTAATACCATAAACCGAAATACAAACTAATTTCGAAATGTAAAAAGGTCAACAAATGTTTTGATCCTAGGCTGGACAGCAGAACGAATCATCAGTTGGAAAAATAAAAACACAATCGGATATCATTGACGTCTGAATTTATTACTCCATCCGTTTTAAAATATTTGTAGTTATAGGTATTTCACATTTTTAAGAAAAGGGAAAAAAAATCATGCATATCCTTATTTAATATTTTTATTGATGATAAAAACAATGTTATCATTAATAATTTCTTGGAATTTAGTAGGAATAAAATTGAAAATTATTATAAAAAATGTCTTGAAAATGTAGAATGATAAATATTTTGAAACATGTGAAATAACCTAAAACAACAAATATTTTGAAACGGAGGGAGTAGTATTTATATATTGCTATGGTTTTACTTTTTAGGCTTTTATGTTGTTGAAATTTATTTGATGGAATAAATAAATTAGGGGAAAATTTATGTTTTGGAGTTGCTGCTCAAACTTAGTAAAAGAGATTATTAATGGCATGCGAAAACAAAAGGTTTTTGGGATTCTAAGACATAGGGTTTAGGTTTTATAGTTCTTTCTTTTTTGGTAAATGTATTTTTTTTTTGGCGAAATTGGTAAATGTAACAAAGGGTTGATCTAGTTTTCATATTTCGTATAATTCGTTGTTATATGGTTTTCAGTTGTTGGAATAGTGTGATAATAAAAAGAGTCTATTTATTACAAATTTGTCACTCATATCTGATTTTTCATCTCATAGTTATTTTTCAGTTTTCATATGTGGACGATTCAAAATAATGTTAGGCTGGTGAAGCTTCATGAACTCTTTCGCCTTCATCTATGTACCATAAGCAGCAACGCCAGGTAGTCAAACTGTTTTAGTGAAAAACGGCACGCAGTTTATCTCATTATGAATCTGACGTCAACACAAATGTGATAAATGACCACACGGAAGGAACACAATGACAAAGACTACTCGTGTTCAAAGCCAAAGGCATTTGCTTGGAAATATATCTGTCCAGATTCTTCTACCGCTTCTTCTGTTTCATGTGTGGGATATCACTTCTTATGTAACATATTCTCTCCACAACCATTGGAACTTCTTCCATTGATGCCAGTAATTAAAATAAGGAATGCAACAAAATATCCAATAGGACCATAGAGCAGGACCAATGGAATTCGCTGAATCCACGAAACCCATTGAGAAGTTTGAATCTTTCATTAAAAAAGTTCAGAATTTTATTTGTTCAGTTGACAAAGTTTGAATCTCTTTCCGTGTATATATAACTCGAACTTTGAATCTTTTTTTATTCAAAATGACAAAGGGCATGTTTTGTTTGTTTGTTTTTTTCTCGCAGGCATTTCCAGTTGGGTCACCATTGGTTAGTTCCTGATATTTCCGGACAGATATTGAACGTGACAGAAGGAGAAGCCGTGAAAATGGTCACAGACAAATGGTTCACTGGACAAGGAGGAGATTGCTCAGACAGACCGAAACTCGTCCAATTCTCTTACAAAACTCGATTTCGAGACCTCCCGAACTCTTTTCGCTATTGTCTCATTGTTCCTACGTACTCGTCACCATGTTAACCTGCCGTAGGAATTCCAACGAGCAGCGCTCGTAAATGCTCTAATACCATATTAACAACTGGATGTGCTTTGTTTGGAAGATGGGAAACCGGAGGAAACTGAGAAATATAGATGATAGAAAACGAGTGAAAACGATGGAAAATTTTCGGGTTTATTGATCTCAAAATGAAAGTAATTGTAATCCTATCTACATGTAAAGCTTAAACAACTGCAACCGTTACACAACAGTTGAAAGTACAACTACGAGTCTAAATAGAACCAACAACAATGTCGTGACCAAGACAGCCCAAGAAATGCCCATGATCATGAACAGGACAAGGTTAACCGAATGCAGAATTAACCATGAATTTAATATTTCGTATACCATTGAGAAAAGAAATAATGATTGATATACGATATACCCAAATATATTTGAAACCCTGGAATGTATTCTTAAATCTAAACGTCGGTGTTCTTTTATAAGATATATGTGGATTTAGGGAATCGTACTTCTATCTAGAACAAATTGATTTGAATACAATAACACTCATACATATATATATATAAACTTATATATACCAATTTAATACTAATTTTATATTTTTAGTGTAAATTCTGGTTGTATTTACAATATATCTTATTTTACAGTTATATTAAATCATTCAACATATTAAATTAATCATTTAAATTGCATATCATATAAGATGGTGTGTAATACTTGTTCAATATTTTATTAAATAACTTTCAAATAATTTCCAAAACATGAAAAGAAAAACGGATATATATATATATATGACGTCACATGTTTTCATTATTCATATTGCAAAAACTATAATAGCTGCCAATAAGATAACCCGAATTTTGTTGTTGTTAGGATTTAATGGGTTACAACTAAATGCCAAAAGAATCTCCCTCGCCTGATTTTTGTGAATGTGATAAGAACTTCAAAAGAATTCATTTTCTACAAAATAATAATAATTTTTAAAATTTTCATTATCTCATAGAATGTTTTGTAAAAAAAAAATATACAATTTCTGAGACGATATTAAAACATGAAACAACAAATTCTGAATCTTCTTTTTCTATGATTTATGGTTTAAATATAAGGAAAAACTTATACAAGCTGTAACAAAAAAAAATCATGACCGAACATTCATCTCATTTTAATGGAGATTTGTTCTCAATTTAGTCATGATTAAATTGTATAATTTATATTATATTTAAACATTTGTACACCAAGTTACACCAAAACAATAGTCCTTTTTTTTAGGTTGTTTCATGGATATTTATATACTTGATAATTCATTAGAAAAAAATATATTTTTAATTAACGTAATTAGAATTACATATCATTTAAGAAAGAATCCAGAAAAGAAGAAAAAAAATCTGATGTTATTTAATTTATTTATTGTTTCTTTTTACGAGTGGGCCTTACTTGTATTTTTCTTTTGGATTGTGAAATCTCTCCTATTATATGTAAACAAAAAAAAATACATATATAATCTTCTACTAATTTAAAGTGTTTTTGTTTATATATTTTGGAATTTATCTCGAGGTCCTAAAAATTGGGAACTTTGTAATTTCTTTATGAACTGTGAGATAACTTTTTTTAAAATTTTTATAATTTAAAATGCAATATGTTTATACATTTTTTCTACAATTTAACATGTTTATTCTATTTCATTTTTGTAATAATTTTTTTATATCATTTATGCAAACATACATGGATATATATATATATAAAAGAGTTGTCGTCCATTGGTAGCATTTATAATTCCATCCTATCAGTAAGGGATTAATGACAGATTTTTATGCCATATCAAATTGGATATTTATCTTGGCATAAATGGTGAAAAATCTTATGAAAATCTATCAACAGATATACTCAAGAAACAAATTTCCATTAACTTGGTGCAAAAATAGAAAATATATGAAGACCTGTATTTAATGTTTTGTGATATAAGGAGGAAAAAAAGACAGAGTTTAACTTTGTATGCTTAAATGGATAAAACATTGCATAAAAGGAGTGGATTAATTAATGATTCAGATTTATTAGTTACCCCAATTAAGTAAAAAATTTGTTATCCAATTATAGTTATAAAAAACATATAGTAAAAATAAACTGTGCATATAATCCACGCTACCCAACCTTTTTTTAATAACTCATATTTTTCCATCATATTTTTGTAAAATCTTCTACTCATTTGAAAAAGAAAACATACGTATATAAACACTAATCATGATATATACATGAATTTTATATTAATTGTCGATACTCAATTGTTTAGCTAAATGCCAAAAGAATCTTGACGGCCTGTTTATGTGAAGGTTATGAAAATGAACACCAAAGTTTAATTCATTTTCCTACAATTTCAAATCTTTTGTAACTGTCACTTGTACTCCCTTGCTTACACTTTTATAGAAAACTAAGAATCCGAAAATCCACCCAATTACGGATTAACGAAAAAATAAATCGATATAATCGGAACCTTCGAGAGAAAAAGAAAATTATAAATCGAAGATCTAGTGAACCAATCTAAATAACCACGAGAACTCGTAAAACGACAAGAGAGGCGTAATTCTGAATCTGTGGAAATGGCTTCCCTCACATTGGACCAACTCCACACATACCATGCCATAGACAGGAACATATTCTCGAAGCTTGTCACAAACTACTTGAGAGATCCGGTCGAGTCACTTCTTGTAATGGCCACTTGGCTATGGCTCGAAGACAAGGGCTTCCCTGCCATCATACCCAAACTCCTCGCTTTCTCCGACTCGATCATCGACGCCATAGCCGATGAAGCTGTCTCGAGTTTTCGTTGCCTCGAATCTTCAGTGCCGCCGATCGGCAGTGGCCTTCTCCCTCTGACCACGAGACTTATGAGCCGAGAAATCACTCTCCACATGATCTACGACCAGAGGTACACCGCCATCAGTGGAATCAAGAGCTTCCTGGCCACTGTCTGTTCCAGAATTTTTTCCGACATCCTCCAAAGGATTCTCCCTTCTTCTTCCTTTATATCGATCCACCTCCCTCTCATCATCCCTGGATTCCCCCATCCGACGTTCGGACACGTCACTGTGATGCCCAATTTCGTCCCCACCGTCGAGGACGAGTTCTCTCGCTTCCCGGACGGGTTGTGGGCGTGGAACCCGAGCAGGAACGCGACGGAGAATGACCGGACGATGTTTCTGACGTTTTCTCGCGGATTTCCGGTGACTCAGGTCGAGGTGAAGGAGCTTTTCACGACCACGTTTGGGGAAAACGCTGTCGAGGGTGTGCATATGCAAGAGAGTAGCGGTTCGAACGATCAGCCGCTGTTCGCAAGGATAGTCCTGGACTCGGTCGCGACCGTGGACCGTGTCCTAGGTGGTCGGAGGATCGCGAAGTTCCGGATCAACGGGAAGCACATATGGGCGCGAAAGTACGAGAGGAGGGACCTACCTTCTGCTTGAACTAGTGGGTTCGAAGAGGGAAGTCTTCGTTTTACTACCCCTTTCTTTGAAATTTTCACGCACTCGACCTCATAGTTTGAAATCGTTCATTAACACCCATTTGACCAAAAAAAAATGATGATATTGTTTTGTGATTGGAACTGTTGGCTTCAGATTTTGGGTGTGTTGGTTTACGATTTCTCTTATGCGAAATGGGTATGTGAGAATTTTCCAAGTCAGAGATGGTGAATTGAAGATTTTCCAAAAAAGAAAAATAATTTAGAGAAAAAAACATATACACTACCCTCTATATCTATATCTGTATATGTGTCCACATGGTAATATCGTGTCACTGTAGATATGGTTCTACTTTTTTCCTATTTCCCAGCGAAGATTGTAATAAAATAGTGACACATTTTCTATATTAATATCAATAAACCACTTCATATTTTATTGGAAAATAGTGACACATTGGATAAATACTTACATAAAACGATAATATATCATATCACGTGGTTTTATTTAGAGATTGTTATTATTTTTATTTTTTTTTAACGGAATTACCAATCTACGAATGGCGACTCTACATCGTTCACGATCAGAAATATACTATCGTAACAGGAATCAATAGTTTTCAAGTAAAAGCTTTTGTAAAGTGTTATTGGTTTCTATCCATACCAAACACATTAGTATTAGTACAGCATATCCAACAAAAATTTATTAAAAATATATAGCAAAGTTTCATATCAATTTTATTGCAAGATTATTATAATCATCTACACATATATATATATATATATAAATTGGAATAAAGCATAGCTTGTAACAATTGGATTTACACTGAGAATGAACGAAGGAAAATAACTATAAAGGCGCAGAGAGCTTTAATGGCTCCATAAATGCAACAGAATTAAAAGAAAGATTCTCGTGCAATTACAATTTCAAAATATTATAATAACTATTGGACCGTTGTTAAATCATTTTAAACACCTTATATAATATAACAAAATCATAACAAAAATTGCAATTAAATCGCCATACGGAGGGGCGCAGCTGTCTGTTCTGTAGAAAGAGTCAGAACTGAAAACAGTGTTTTGTATAAAAGCATTCATATTATGATTAACTATTTAAGTACACCATCGAACGATGAGGACAGAGTATATAAACTGAAATTGAATCAACAAAAAAATAAAATAAAATAAAAGGTAGCTGCGTCTGCCGGGAGTCGAACCCGGGTCTATTGCTTGGAAGGCAATTATCCTAACCGTTGGACTGCAAACGCTGCTTTACTTTCAAATATGCATTTACTAAAACATAATAAAACTACGACTTTTGACATGTAACAACTAATTGAATTCTATGCCAATTCTGATTTAATTTACAATCATGTTTCAGTAAATCAGTCTTTTACCAGTTCATAATTTCGTATGCTTCCATTGAAAATAAAAATAAAAATGGCCCAAGTGATAAGTCACACAATTTGCATTTTACCACGAAACGCATATGGGAAGTGAGTTAGGTGCCGCGTTTCTGCCGCGGGGGGGGGGGGGGAATCGCACGTGAATTGTAGACGTGCGTTTTGCAAACGCGATTTCTCTCGAGGTAGCACGCGACCCGGAGTTTTGACTTTTTGTTGACTCCGCTTTTGCTGGGCTTCAAATTTCAATTATTGTTGGCTCTCCTGATCCTAAGGTCAGGCCCATAATAATAATAATAATAATAATAATAATAAGAGAAAAATAGTAATTAGACCATAAAAAATCACTTAAAATCGGTTGTGTAGAAGTTGAAATTAATTTTTCGGGTCAATATAGAGTTTCGATCGTCTAAAATTGTGGTCAAACCGATCAACGAGTTATTAAAACAATAATTTGCAAGTTTGAGGTTTTATTCATTTACTATAAGTTTAAGGTTTATTTGCATATTTTTTACAAGTTCGAGTTTTTTAGAGGTTTTTTCTAATTATTATTATTATTATTATTAAACCTTATAATAGATAACTACAAACACAAAAGAATATAGAAATATTTTGTTTCGATCCAAAAATTCAATGCAAAATCAATAAAATATTTTTAAAATTTTATATGTATGGTCAAATTGATTTTTAGGTAAGGAATCCGCAGAATAGTTCACTGTCAATAAATAACAACTGCTAAAAATTGCATCTTTTAGAAAGTATAAGATTTTATGCCATCTCCATAAATATATGCATCTATTTTCTCTTGATTTGAATATTGTTTTTAGACTTACGTTTGATAGATTTTGTCGCTGTCTTTTTACTATTTGTTCTTTTCGCCTCTATTTGTTTACCATTATTGCTTTGTTTTGGTAATTTTCATAATTTTAATATTAAAAAATGCGTCTATTTCATTCCATATTTTCATTGCCAATAAGGAATAATATTTTTACATAACACTAATTTAGGATTTTTTTTATATTAATGCTAATATTTTTATATCGGGAATCTTGTATTATGATTTATGACCATTGCAATATATAAACAGTAAAATAAATGGAGTCGCACGACTAGAGCGTTTCTCATCCTCGTATCGACAAACACCTCTCTCTCTCTCTCTCTCTCTCTCTCTCTCTCTCTCTCTCTGCGCTTATCCTGCGCACCTCCATCACCACCGTCCGCCGTAGAATCGTGGTCTCCGGCGAGAAATATCACGAGCTCTCCGGAAATGGGGAAAGGCGGTGCGCTCAGCGAGGGGGTGATAAAGAAGATCCTCCTCTCCTACGCCTACGTCGCGATATGGATCTTCCTCAGCTTCACCGTCATCGTCTACAACAAGTTCATCCTCGACAAGAAAATGTACAATTGGCCCTTCCCGATCTCTCTCACCATGATCCACATGTCCTTCTGCTCAACCCTAGCTTTCCTCCTCATCAAGGTCTTCAAATTCGTCGAGCCCGTCTCAATGTCTCGTGAGACCTACCTCAGATCCGTCGTCCCGATCGGCGCTCTGTACTCACTCTCCCTCTGGCTCTCCAACTCCGCCTACATTTACCTCTCCGTCTCCTTCATCCAGATGCTCAAAGCCCTAATGCCCGTCGCCGTTTACTCCATCGGCGTTCTCTTCAAGAAGGAGGGATTCAAAACGGACACCATGGTCAACATGCTCTCGATCTCGTTCGGTGTCGCCGTCGCGGCTTATGGGGAGGCTAGATTTGACGTTTGGGGCGTGATTCTTCAGCTGGGCGCGGTCGCGTTCGAGGCGACTCGTTTGGTAATGATTCAAATCTTGCTTACTTCAAAAGGAATCACGTTGAATCCCATCACTTCTCTGTATTACGTTGCTCCTTGCTGCTTGGGTTTCCTGTTTATCCCGTGGATCTTCGTCGAATTCCCGGTCTTAAGGGACACGTCAAGCTTCCATTTCGATTTCTTTATCTTCGGGACCAATTCCTTCTGTGCATTTGCCCTGAATCTGGCTGTGTTCCTGTTGGTGGGAAAGACCTCTGCTTTGACCATGAACGTTGCTGGTGTGGTCAAGGACTGGCTTCTGATTGCGTTCTCATGGTCGGTGATTAAGGACACTGTCACGCCCGTTAACCTTTTCGGGTACGGGATCGCCTTCTTGGGCGTTGCGTACTACAATCACGCGAAATTGCAGGCCCTGAAGGCCAAAGAGGGGCAGAGGAAGGTCCCGCAACCGGACGAGGAGAGCGGTCAGCTGTTGGAGGAGAGGGAAGGCGATGATGGAGCTGGAGCCGGTGCCGGTGCCGGTGCCGGTGCGGGAGCCGCTAGGAAAGACGAGTCACAGAATTGAGGTAAAGCATTCATTGGATTGGAGAAGAAATAGTGTAGCAGAGTATCAGAATAAGAGCATGAAGGTACAGTAGATAGATGTGTGGCAAAGTGGAAAGCATTTGGGTTTTTTCCCCGCGTTGTCATGCTCCTAGGTATCATCTGTCTCTTCTCATGATAGAGGGTTTACAGCCTTTTGGATATTTTCTTGGTGGTGGTGGTACTTATGGAATCTGAGATTCGTTCTGATGAGGTCATGAATATCTATGGCTGCCTTCTTGTCGGGTTTTCTGTCCTCTGCTCTTTTATTATTTAACAATGGTGTAACCAGCCTTTGCCAATGAAGAAGAACTTTAATTCATACTGAAAGTTTGAAGCCTTTATTTATTACATATAGATTATAGATATGCATATAGGCGAGGTTAACAGCAAACACACCCTGACGAGGTTCTATTAAAGAAAAAGGGAATACGATTAGATTCACTAATTTCAGTTAACCCATTGCAATGAAACTAATAATGAAATAGAAATTCAGCAAGGTTACAAAATAGACGCTTAGTGTTTAGAAGGAGAAAGATTACCAAATTTGTAACTTCTTAACGATCAGAAAAATTCGATAAACCAATATCTTATTAATAGACTTAGTATCTCAAAAACCAGGTATCGGCTGGGTAGCTCGGGCATGTTAGGACTGTCGAGGCTTCTATGACGTCGCATTGATCTTCGGCTCCTCGAGCTCGAGTTTTTACCAACAGCTTTTGTACCCATCATTTCGATTTCAGCAACAGAAACTGGTTGATGCCCTTCTGAAACACCTTGGCCTTGGCCAACAACAGCTTCACGGTCTACCACTTGTGGTCAGTTTTCTTGGCCATGGACAGGATCCTCCTGGCCATCATGACCATGGATATTTCTCGGGCTGTTTTGGTCATTATCTCCGGACGGGACAGGTTCTTGGTCATTTCTTCGGTTGCCTTGTTCAGGATCTTGGCGGTCCTGAGCCACTTGGCGTTGCTCGTCTTGGTGCCTTCGGCAGGTTGACATAGTGACAAGTAGGAACAATGAGACAGCAAAGACAATAGCGAAGAGAGCTCAGAAGGTCTCCAAAATCGAGTTTGGTCAGAGAATTGGATGAGTTTGGGTCTGAATCTGGGCAATCTCCCCCTTTTCCAGTGAACCATTTGGTGTCTCCTTCTGTCACATTCAATATCTGTCTGGAAATATCGGGAACTAATGGTGAACCCACTGGAAATGGCTGTGAAAAAACAAACAAACACTACCCTTTGTCACTTTGAACAGAAAAAGGCTACTTTTTTTCATGAGTTGTACTAAAAAGATTCAATTCTTTTTATGAAAGATGCAACGTTTTTGGGGTATAAATGAATGATGCAACTTACGAGCCAAATCCGTCGGCTTTGAATCGAGGCCCAATCACTTGTCTTCGCCGTGTAAAGTTTGACGTAAGGAACTTCGTCGACTGCAGCACCTATACTGCCATTGAAGCCCTGGTTCGTGAAAAGTTCGTGCATTTCTTCTGGAGAATCATAAGCTATTAAGCTAGATTCATCGAAACCCATCTGTTTCACCTCTCAAATGTAGAAGATCCTCTTTGGTATCCAATGTTCTCTCCACTCTTCTTCAGATCTTCCAAGTTTCTCCGAGTCGGGCGGAGCTCTTGAACAGTTAGCATCGATGTCAAGGTTGTTGTGTAGCTCTGAATCAGAATCAGCACCACATGACCGCGAGTATCCTGGTGTAAACGGTCTCCGCTGGCTTTTTCCTACACGATATCCAACAAAAATTTATTAAAAATATATAGCAAAGTTTCATATCAATTTTATTGCAAGATTATTATAATCATCTACACATATATATATATATATATAAATGCACGCGGAAGCCTGTCACCGTCGGAATGTCGGTAATATGGGATCCCTTGTTTATTATACAACAGCCATGGCAAGCGCAGTGGCCGCATCGTCCAAGATAGTGGTGGGATTTTGAAAAGTAATAAAGTCTTCACACCGGCCCATGCATAGACACCCATGTCTGGAGCCGAGATCAATCTCTTGAAAAACCATCCACTAGGTTTCTCCATAATCGGTGTTTTAGCAAAAATAAATTACTAATTACTATTTGCTTAATCTTTGTTCACTTCACCCACGTCTCATGACTGTCTGTCGAATAATTGTTGTTCAATTTACGCTATTTTTTGTCCAATTTTTTAAGGTCCAATTACTAATTGAATCCATTTCATGGTTGATGTTATTGGGCTCCCACAATTAGCTTAGGCATGATTCGTACCCATAAAAAAAATATATACAATCGAACGAAGAAAGAGAATTTTCGTCTAGGTCCAGTTCGAAAATTTATCAGATCTTTGGTCCGATTACATCTTCTAGAGGATTGGAGAAATCCATGTGAATGTCTCACTCCAAACGAGGAATGATTGGAAAGTACCAAACCGGTTATATTCACATTATTACTAACATAAGCTGTTTATTATTAGTCAAGTGAAAAGGATTGGATAAGGAGAAAGAACAACATATTTCATATTTGAGAAGCCCTTTGATATTTTTATTCACGGGAATTTTGGAAAACGTATTATCGAGTGGACCTAGACACCGCATGGATTTCCTCCGGGACCTCCATACGTGAAGTAGACACCGACATTAAGGTTATCATATCCAACATAGTCTAGACCATAACATTGGTCGCTGTCTACCAACTTTTTCAATGGAAACATGTCTGCTCTATCCAACGAATAATCATTTCCCATGATTTGAAGGTTATTGAAAAACCCCGAATGATAAGGATCGTCATATTTTGGTCGATTGCCGTTACCCATGGGTGGGCTCGGAGAATTCGGAGGAGCGCTGACCATGCCGGAGAATCCAACCATTTGAGCGCCGTCGCCGATTAGGTTAAACAGTTCCTTTGGCCAGTAGCCCATATCACTCACAGAAGAGTCTTTAAACACTTGCGTAATCCACCAATTCCCACTAGTTTTATCCTTGTACATACGAATGAAGCATTGTCAAGGGATTTTTCAATCGTAGAAATACGTATATAGAAAATGAAAGAGTACCTGATGAATGGTAAACCGAATAATTGAATCGTCAGTAATTTCCATAGGTTCGCTCAAGGGATTATCTTTTGCAACTTGAACAAACCCTTGACATTGTGTATTGTAGCAGCCTGCCCCGTTGTTACCCTACCATCATTACATATTCCAACACATGTTACGTGATCCGTATATTATGTTTGCAAAAAAAAACAAAGAGAGTTGAGGTAGATACCTACCTTCCAAGATGCGTAAGACCACGTGCGAGCATCACCAAATAAGTTTATATTTATCTGCCAAGGAATAAAAAATTTAGAACATTGGAGGAATATAGATTTCAATGACATGAAACGAATTATAAACACAAACAAAAAGTGAATATATATATATATATATATACCATCCAACCCGCTTCGATAACGTTGAGTTGACCATTGGATTCAGTGGCTACGTATTGTCGAGCATATGAAGCTTGGTCTCGTTTAACGTTTACGTTATTTGCCCTCAGCAATGCCCCGACGCCCCGATATGGGCCTTTGCCTTCCGACCTCATGCCTGCCATCTGTGTATACGTACGGATAAGCTTTACACATGGCGATATATATATATATATATATATATGCATACGACGGAGCTTACATGTACTCCTGGCTCTTGAGGGGTGTTTGGTATGATATTGTCTTGTCTCGTTCTCATTATAGGCACCGTTCCATCTGGGCATCCTATTGTCTTCTTGTGTCTTTTGCCTGACACTTGTGTCTTTGATTCGAATGGCGAACTCGATGGTTTCATCTAATCATATATAATAGTATGACAGTGTGTGTGTATATATATATATATATAAAGATACATGCATAAGTAAATCATAAAACACTGCCCATAGTTGTAATATCAAAAAGACTTGGACAACATAACAAGTTTTGTGATATATTAAACCGAAGAATATACCTGGATGGTGTGGTTCTTGAGCAGGGGATGGCTAAGCGACGGTTGCTTATAGATATCCACGCAATCGTAGATAACATTTTCACTTAACTAACCAATTAAAGAATAAAAAAACACAAACACAAAAAAGTTATTTCACACGCATGAACAATGTGAAGATCATCATATCTCGTATACTTAGAATGTATTCTGGCACCTTAATCGACTTCAATAACGGTCTCACAGCTTCTCCGTACTTAACAAACGAAATCAAGATCAAGAGCGCCACTAAATCCATCGTGAGAGCCATGAGATTCAAATGTATTGCGTTTCTTCTGTGATGTATCGTAATGGAAGACACTCACATATTTATATTTAAAATCCGGTAAATAAATTAGGGTTATTGTCATAAAAAGAGAAAACCAAAATGGAAACGGAAATTGTAATATAATCAAACTAGAAAGAGATAGTTTTAGTTGGAATGGAATATGGATATTGACACTACCTACCAAATTTATCGAATCAAATATAATAATCATATCCATACATACTAACATTATATATATTCGAAGGCCAGGAAATAAATTATATCTATTACCATATCACTTGTCACACCAAATCCTATTATCTTTTTTTTATCGATCATAATATATAATATATGACGGATCACACCAAATCTATTTATTGTAACGACAACTGTTGCGAAATAAATGTCTAAATCTTTGGAAAAAAATGTTGTGCATACGAAATATGTTTTAAATTACGATTTTTTCTCACTTTTTCAATTTAAAAATATTATGATTTTACACACTGGTTTTTTAATTGTTTGCGATTTTAGCTTACTTCTATGTATATTTATAAATATTTGTTATTTTGTAATTTATGTATACTTATATAAATATTTTAGCTTATGAAACAATACACAATTTTTTTATTTATTTAAATAATAAAAGATAAATATGTTTTTATAAAAACAAACAAAGTTTTACAAAAGGAAAACACGTATATATATATGTTGAGTTTAAATATTTTTATAAAATTATTTTATAATAATTGCGTATGGTATATTTACATTTTTTTCATATAAATTTATTAGATTTTATCTGTTAAGGAAAAATAAATTAATACACTAATTTATAAAAAAATCTCAAATAAATACAGAAATTTTTAAAATTTTAAATAAATACACAAAAGACTCCTATATTATAATCCTAATTTTTTTAAAATTAATGAAATCTTAAATTTTTAAACGATTTTCATAAATCACAATAAAATTAACCTTTAAACTTTATAATGACTTCTAAAAACCATCATGAAGAGAGCCGTATAAAAATTATTATTTTATCATAAAAGATAAAAAGATTTGTTATATTTTTATAGATGTGTTTTACTCATTTTTATATACGTATATATGGTATAATTATATATATATATATATAATATAAATTCTTATATAAGATATCCAAGTTTAATGATAAAAAAATATGTAAAATATGGATCTCCGACACCGTCTGACTCCATATCTGCGAGGTTAGTTAGATCGAAGATCCAATAAACCTCATAGTTATAAAAAAAATTCTCACATAAATTTATTGGCTTCTTTCATGTTTTTAATATGGATTAAAATATCAAGCTAGATGGACTAAACACTGCTATATATCAAATCATATGAATTTTATATTTGATTTTAAGAATATGAGATTATGTTCTTTACTATTCTAAATTATATAAAAATATTCCGAATTATAAAATAACCAAGATTTCTACTTCATTACAATTCCCGGGATGGCAAAACAACATGTTTAACCGATTTAAACAGTAATTTTAATATTTTCAGCTTTAACAAGTTAGTATAGTTTAAATTACTATCTCAATCTAGATTCTATTCAATTTGGCTAGCTTTTACATATACATTTAATTTATTCCGTTAGAAAAAAAAAATTCCAGAAAAAACTAGGTCATTTAATGGGTTGGGCTTTTTAGGTCCATTTTATTTTTTCTTCTTAACTTATTGAAACCATTACATGGGTTGATGTTATTGGGCTCCCACAGTTAGCTTAGGAATACGATCCAATGAAGAAAGAGAGTTTTTCGTTTCGGCCCATTAATACATAAACTCCATATCCAATTAATGATGATTTCGGTTGAATAACCCATCAAACCCTTTTATATCCTATTGAAAAAGGAGGACCAACAACGAGCACAAGAAACATTTGGATATTTTATTCACGGGAATTTTGGAAAACGTATTATCGAGTGTGGACCTAGACACCGCATGGATTTCCTCCGGGACCGCCGTACGTGAAGTAGACACCGACATTAGGGTTATCGTATCCAGCATAGTCTAGACCATAACATTGGTCGCTGTCTACCAACCTTTTCAATGGAAACATGTCTGCTCTTTCCGGAAAGTATTTTGTCCCCATGATTTGAAGGTGATTGAAAAAGGCCGAGTGATAAGGATCGTTATATTTTGGTCGATTGCCGTTACCCATAGGCGGGCTATCGCCGTAAGGAGAAGAGCTCACCACGCCAGAGAATCCGACAAATTGAGCACCGTCGCCTATTAGGTTAAACAGTTCCTTTGGCCAATACCCGACATCACTCGTAGAGAAGTCTTTGAATATTTGCGTAATCCACCAGTTTCCCGTTTGTTTATCCTTTGTACATATGGATACAAAAGTATTGTTAGGGTTTTTTGCGCAACATTATATATACATATATATATATAATCGTTTATACTAAGAAGTATATAAAGTGAATTGTACCTGATGAATTGAAAACCGAATAACCGCATATTTAGTAATCTCGATAGGTTCGCTCAAGGGGTTATCTTTTGCAACTTGAACAAAGCCTTTACATTGTGTGTTGTAGCAGCCTGCCCCCTTGGCACCCTACCATTACATGCCACGTGATCAATATAACTATTTTGTAAAATGTCAAGAAAAAGGTCAAAGTACACCTTCCAAGATGCGAAAGTCCATGCACGAGCATCACCAAATAAGTTCATATTTATCTGCAAACGAACGAACCACCAAAAGCTTAAAACTTTGATTTCAATTCGAAGCGTAAATTAAAAAACGTGAACATATATATATATATATACACACACACCATCCATCCCGCTTGGATAAAGTTGAGTTGGCCATTGGATTCAGCGGCTACGTATTGTTGGGCAGATGAAGCTTCATTGCGACCGACGTTCAAGTTGTGAGCACTCAACAAAGCCGAGACGCCACGGTATGGAGCTTTACCCATCGACCTCACGCCTGCCATCTGTACGTACATTCCATTAAGCTTTTATAAAGTTTTACGTGCATGCAATGTATATATATAGATATATATGTATACGTATATATATGTACAGTTGATAATATGGACGCTTACATGTACGCCTTTTTCTTGAGGAGTGTTTGGTATGACGTTTTCTGGTCTCGTTCTCATTATAGGCACCGTTCCATCTGGGCATTCTATTATCTTCTTATACCTTGTGCTTGAAACTTGTGTTTTTGATTCAAATGGCGAACTCGTCGGTCTCATCTAAATCAAAATAACATAATCCCATATATATAGTAACTTATATAGTTGTAAAATAAATAAAAAACTTAGAAAACATCATAATTTTTTTTTTTTGTAATTTACTAAATTAAAGGATGAAGAATGAGAAGAAAAATGAATACCTGGATGGTGTGGTTCTTGAGCAGCGGATGGCTAAGTGACGGTTGCTTATAGATATCCACGCAATCGTAGATAACATTTTCACTTAACTATAACCAAAGAAAAATTACACAGTTATTTCACATATATTACCCGAATTTCATATTTCATATACTTAAGAGCATTGTGTATACCTTAATCGACTTCAATGGCCCGACCGCTTCTCCATACAGAACAAACGAAATCAAGATTAAGAGCCAAACTAAATTCATATTGAAAGCCATGAGATTCAAATGTGTGTTTTCTGAAAGGCCTTCCTGTCACACATTTATATTTGAAGGCCAGCAACTCAACTCCATTAGGACTAAATCCATAAAAAAAAAATGTCGAAGCGGCAAATCAGAATGGAAATGGAAATGGAAATGGAAAGTTTTCATCACAATATTTTGGCAATATAATATAATCAAACTATGGGAGATTTTATAATCATAGATGGAAATTGAAATATTTCATTACGATATTTAAGG